TCCTCCTCCTCCTGCCCCGCCACTCAGCCTTTCACCGCTGCCGGCCTCTGTCCCTTGGCGACTGTGGGGCGTGGAGCCTCCTGCCCGTTTGGGGCTCTCCCTTATCAGAGCCTCGGAGCCACCTGCAGTGAGAGCTTGGCCCAGGTGAGCAGGCTTGTGGGGTTCACGCTGCTCCCCCAAACGCTGGTGTCCGGGGGTCCCTGCGGGGGCGGGAAGCCATTGGACATATGAAGGGCCCAGCCCCACAAGCTGCTGAGTCTGCTGAGTCCAGCAGGACTTGGGACCCCAGGGAGATCAGGGCCTGACTCATCCGGCGCCCACCACGGGGGCACCTGAGCACCTCCCGGTCCCTAAGGTGCATAAGAACTTGAGAACGGCCACACTGGGTCAGACCAAAGGCCTGTCCAGCCCAGTGTCCTGTCTGCCCACAACGGCCAATGCCAAGTGCCCCAGAGGGAGCGAATCGAACAGGTACTGATCAAGTGATCTCCCTCCTGCCATCCATCTCCACCGTCTGACAAACAGAGGCGAGGGACACCATTCCTTACCCAGCCTGGCTAACAGCCGTTACTGGACTTAACCTCCATGAATGTATCTAGTTCTCTTTTAAACCCTGTTATAGTCCTAGCCTTCACAGCCTCCTCAGGCGAGGAGTTCCATAGGTTGTGCGCTGGGTGAAGAAAAACTTCCTTTTGCTTGTTTTAAACCTGCTGCCCATTCATTTCATTCGGTGGCCCCTAGTTCTTATATTGTGGGACTAGTACAATATGTGGTCGTCCTCACGGCTCCCTGGGGGGCAGGGAAGGGCTGTTCTCCCCACTGGGCGCAGGGTGCTGAGGCCCAGAGATTTCGGCTCCCTGAGGACACTTCCCTCCCGGGAGTGGGGGCAGGGCGGGAGCTGGCTCCCTGCAGATCTCCAGCTAGCAGCCAGGGCCCAGCCAAACCAGACCCGGGCAGGAGGGCAGCTTCTCCCGTCTCTTCTGGCTGCCAGGGAGCAGGGAACCTCCACCTGCCGCCACCTCTCCAGTCGATCCTGAGGCACAGACCTTACAGTTCCTCAGGGATCTGGGGGGACCCGGCTCCCAGGCGGCTCTGGCCACTGCACCACACTACCTCCCAGCACAGTGTTAGAGATGGCCACGTAGCCAGCTGACCCATAGGGATTGACCCAGCCTTACAGCTGTGCAAACGGGCCCCCCGGCTGCCAGGTATGGCTGGAGAGAGGGGAGGGGGCAGGCAGGCAGCGGGTGGGCGTGGCTGGAATCCGCGGGCGGGAGCACAGTGGGGCCTGTTCCAAGGGCTCATTGTAACGAGTGGCCTAGCAGGAGACGGGGCAAGGAGGGATCTGGCTGCCTAGCGGCTTCGGGAGGCTCAGTAAGGTCGAGTGGGGGCAGCTGAGAGCCAGTGGTGGCAGCGGTGGGATTGGAACGAGAGGCAAAGACACTAATGCTTTGTCAGGAGCACAGTGAACTGCAAGCCTGCAGGCCTGTTCCTGGCTTTGGGTGCCCAGACTGAGACCCCCAATGGAGCCCTTGGTGCCCAGCGCCCCGGGGCTGTCACACCCAACGGACCGGCCGTTGCTCCCAGCGTGGGGGCGAGGGATCTCGCCGGGGAGGGAAAAGCTACTGCCTCAGCGAAATGGGAGCACCTGCCCAGACCTCGCTTGTCAGCTCCGGGTCGCCTCTCCCGCCTGGCCTGGCGTGGCGGTGTCGGGTGGACAGGGCCGTCTCCGTGCTTGCTCGCTGACTCTGAGCCCGGCCTGGCTCACGCGAGGCCAACCCTGGCTTGGAAGTAAGGGAGGAGGGTGGAATTTTAGCCCCGGCTGCCCAGTGGGGCGGGGCCGAGAGGCACACGGAGCACCGGCTGGCTCGCCCTGTGAACGGCCCTTCACTGACAGCCTCTCTGTGCCGCGTGCGAGTGCAGCGCACGCTGCTCGCTCCCTTGCGCACAGATCGGCCGCCTCCCGCAGCTCCCGCAGCACCCGCAGCTAGATCTGATGGAACCTCACGCACAGCGGAGGGGGGGGCACTGTCCCTATCAGTGAGCCCAGGCGTTGGCTCCTGCCTTGCCCTGGGTTTAGGTCACAGGTGCTGGCTCCCCGTGCGTTCGGTGTCTGACGAGAGCCAGGCCCCAGTACTAAGCAACTCCCCACTTTGCCTTCCTCCCCGCGCCCCGGCCAATCAGCGTCTGCCTTTGCCATTCACATTTTCACATCCAGCCCACTGAATTGGCCTCACTAACCCGGGCCCTGCGATTGGCAGGTCAACGCTTTTGCTGTTCTATGCCCCCGGGGTTCTGTTATTTCCACTCCAGCTCCTCTGAGGAAGTGGGTTGTGCCCACGAAAGCTCCCGCTTCTGTCTGTTTCGGTTAGTCCCTCAGGTGCCACGGGACTGCTCGTTCTTAACGTTACCGACTGCCCCTTGGAGACTGCTCCTGTGGTTTGGTTTCTGTTAAAGCAAAGTGGCAGGCACCAACCAGGGAGCCACGTGGCCCTGAATAGAAACGTGGCGGGTGGGGAAGGCTGGGCCCAGGGCTTTCCACGCATCTCACGGGGCTTAGCGAATCCCCCTGCCCGGTCCGACCCTATCAGGGAACACAACCCGGGCAGCGTGGCGATGGTCTGTGTGACTCGGTGCCGGGGGAATGTCCCTCACCAATGCTGTGTGTGCAGACAGCACCATGCACGCAGGGCCCTGGCACAGCTAGCGCTATGCTCTTCTGTGGCCGCTCTCAGCCGGCGCGCTCCAGGCGCAGCATCAGGGTGAGCCAGAGACAGCCTGGGAGAGTCCAGTGGTACCGTCCGCCTTGGCCAGCTGGCTCAGAGAGGTCATGTGTCTGCCCGACGTCCTGCAGAAGAGAACCCAAATGCCCTGGTTCCTCCCAGCCCCTTGCTGTAATCACTAGACCCCACTTCCCTCTTGGATCTGGGAGCAGAACCCAAGCGTGCGTCACCTGCTGTAAACACACCACTCCTCTGGGAGTCAGAGAGCGAGTCCAGAGCGCCGTGGGCTGATAGAAATGCTGTGTCCGGGGTGCCTGTTACCTAGCCGAAAACACTCCGCGTCCTGGAGACAGACAGTCGTTTCCTGCAGGGTACGGAGGGGAAACAGACAGTTTCCTCTGTGGCTGATTGACACGGACGCAGCGAATGGAATAAAAACGAAGAGGGAAACTCCCAAACCCAGAGCAGGGGGCGCTCAGGGAGCTGGAGGTCAGCTTAGTGTTCACAGGTCACCACGCTCACACTTGGGTGATTCAAACGAGGCCCCTCACTGTGCTCAGTAGCTGACTAAGAGCGGCCGAGGATTCAGAGGTTTTCCTGGAGCATCATTGGAAGTTCTGGGGGCTCAAAATATTTGCAAATGGGGCTGTAGGTGTCTAACGTCAGGTACCCCAAATTAGAGTCTAAAAGTTTGGGTCGTAACTGTGACGGACCGGGCCGTGTCTGGGCACAGCTGAGGGCGTCCGCTCAGGGTGAATTGCTCAACTTCGGGGCTCCTTACAGTCCCCAGACTGGTGACCTTTCCAAACAGGCCACAAACCAGTCCCACAGAGCACTTCAGCTGCCTGCCTGAAGCCTCCCGAGCAAAACCCCTCCGACACCCCAGCAATATCCGTGCCCCAGATGACCCCGGGCCTCATACACAGGTGGGGGGTCCTAGCACCCAATCCCACCTACCCCGAACAAGTTCTGTCCGGTTCCAAGAAACCAGCCACAGATCCCTGGTCAATTTACCCTCTGGACCTTACCCACAAATCACGCTGAGCCAATCCTTTAGCATCTAACATCTAAAGGTTTATTATTACAATAAAGAAAAGCATGAGAGTAAGGTTGCTAAAGGATAGTACGTTACATGCACCGAATCTCCCAGTTCTCGATGCAGGCTCTAGCAGAGATGTTACAGCTGCTGGCTTAAAAGTCCTTGTTGCGCATCCTAGGATCAGGATGGGTTCACAGGTCTTTCCGGCTCTTCGATCCCTGTACTGCTGCCTCTGGGATGAAGTGCTGAGCTGAGAACCAAGATGGAGTCGACCACATGGACTCTCTATTCCTCCTTCATGGTCTCTTCTTGGCTGCAGCAGGTCACCTGGCCAGCGGCCAATCCCTGTGTTCCCTGCTGGCAGCTCTCAGGTGACAGCCCCCATTCTTTAGGTGTGTCCTTGGCCCATTGAGAGCCATTGTCCCACAGGGCCTCGCTAATTAGCATGTCCATAGGCCGGGCTCTGCCCAGTGCTCAACCACATGCAGAGAAATATTCAGTATCCACACAGATTACAGATTCCTAACTATACACACAGACATTATACAATCACATGACTAGCATACATAGGATTAGCCTACAATAAGCTTCTATTCAACACCCCACATGGCCCCCTTTTATACCATTTTTGGGGCCAACACCCCCACCTATGGGTGCAGCAGTGATCTGGCTGCTTCCCTCAAATTCAATAATGTGACAGTAACCACTCTGTGCCTCGGTTTCCCCGCCTCTGTAGAGCACTGGGGGGTGTATGGGAGAGAGCTATAGCGGCGCCACGGTCTTTCCTTGCTGCTGTTACTGTTTGTTACTCTAGTAGTTACTGCGGCACAAGACTTTCCATTCCCAGCACGTGGGCAGCGGGGCGACGTCTTTTCCCCGACTAGAATAGGCCTTCGTAGTGACGTGTTTCCTACATTGGAGCCAAAATGGCTCTGCCCCTTTCAGGGCGAGGAAGGGTGGAAAAGGCCGTTCTCGGTCCGAAGACGTGACTTTCGCAGGGGTGGGAAGTGGCAGCAATGTGGCGTGGGGCCGCAGGCTTTGGGGGCAGTGTAAATCGCTGACGTTCTTCGCCTGGGCCGTGGGGCAGGATCTCGTCGCGGTGGGCCGAGGGTGTCTGGGGGCGGAGTAGGTGTGTCCGCGAGCAGATGGGCGTTAACGGCCGGGTGCTCAGTGTCTGTGGAGAGCCCTGTGCCCGGCTCTCCGGGCCTTCACGTGTGTCTTGGCTCCCTCTCTTTCAGGGCCTGAAGAAGCCAAACATTGAGGAGATCCGGCACGCAAAGAACGCGGTGTTCAGCCCTTCCATGTTTGGGAGCTCCCTGCAGGAGATCATGAACATGCAGAAGGAGAGGTACCCAGACCGCCAGCTCCCCTGGGTGCAAACCAGATTGTCCGAGGAAGTGCTGGCGCTGAACGGAGACCAGACCGAGGGCATCTTCAGGTAACGCTGCCTTGTGATCCTGACCCTCGTGCCCCGGGGAGTCGCACGCCGGGCAGTCACTTCCAGGAGAGAAGATGCAGCTGGCTGCTTCTTAATCTGACAGGGGGTGCCTGAGGCTCTTACAGGGAGTGTTGCATGCTGGGACATGTAGTCTTTGCGGCACCTCTGCCAAAGCTGAGGCTGGCCGTGGATTGCATTGTGAAGCCCCGTGGCTTGGCCACTCCTGCATCTCAGCATGACCTTGCGGAGCATTTTCTAAGGGGTAACGTCCCAAGCCAGGCGAGGCGTCGGGGCCGGCTGTCCCTGAGCAGGCAGACGAGCAACGATCGAGGCAGGGCGGTTGCTGTTCCCCTCCCATCCCAGAGAAGGAGCCTTTGCGATGGGCTGAGGCATTCTAGTGCCTAGACCCCGCCACAGATCTGGCTGGCCTCTCAGGAACCCGGCCCAGATCTGTAACGCCACAGGAATCCAGGGCGGCGGCTGTGTCTCTGGGGAAGTCCACGTACAGTAATTCCTCATTTAACACGCGCCCGCTTAACACTTTTTCGCAATAGCACGATTTGGGGGGGGAACGTTTTTTGCATTACACAAACTTTCCCGGAATAACACGATTTCCCCAGCTGGCCCGTTGCTAGTGGCTGTGCAGGCTTCCCCCGCCTCCCTTCAAAGTGTTGGAGGGTTCGCTGCTTGCCGCGCCGTCCCCCAGCGACCCCCCCCTCGCTGGACACAGTGCGGGTCCCGGCAGACCCGTCACAGGGGCATACTCCCAACCCAGTCCCCCTCCCCTCCCCTTCCCCAGAGCCAGACACCTCCCCCCCCTGCTGTAACCCAGTCCCCTTTCTCCCCCAGCCGTATGTCCCGGTCCCAACAGACACCGCCCCCACCTTTTCCATTATGTTCAGTGGGAAAATTGACCCCGCATAACACGTTTTCACTTAACACAATCAGTTTCTGAAACATCTCGCTAGTGTTAAATGAGGAATTCCTGTTCTTACCTCTCCTCTTCGTTGCCTTTTGTTCTGCTGCCCATCACCCTGTGGCTAGGCCCTGTGCTTCTGGCCAGGGTCTCTCGCTCGCCTGTTGCCACTTTTGAAGCGGCGCCTTGCGTGCAAGGGCCACGTTTCAGCACCCAGCGCCTCCCTCTGGCTGGTAGCGCCAGGCCGCAGCAGCGGCGCCCCCTTTGGCAGTGGCAGAGCGCAGGGGGCAGCCCATTTCCAGAGGGCCACGCAGTGGGAGAGCACCCGGGCATCGGCTGGACAGATGAGCTGTCTGACGCTGGGCTCCCCGCGGTGTTTCAAAGCGGCAGCGCCGCACGGAGCAGGGGAGTCCCTAGCTGATCCCGGGCTCCACGCGGCACTGCCGCTTTGAAATGCCTCGGGGAGCCTGGGGCCAGTGGGGGGCTGCCCCCCGCAGCGCTTTCGCCTGTGAAGTGTGGCAGCAGCCCTGGGGCTGAGAGGCGTCCTGTCGACTAATCGATTAGCCAGTTCGTCTAACTGTAACATCCCCACTCCCCTCCCGCTCCCAGCCAGAGCGTAGCCAGGCCACTCCTGCGCCTCCCCCAGAAGAGCCCAGGCCTCAGAAAATCCACCTTCCCCCAAGCCCCAATCTCGTTCTTCAGCAGATGGATCGTTGCCCTCGGGCTGGCCTGGGCCTCGCTGGTTTGGCTGCGAAGGACAGACATTCCCACAGGGCTGTCTCAGGCTGATTTCCCCCTTGACTCGGTCACAGGAGGGCGTGCTGAGAGCTGCTCCTTGATGTGGGAGCCCGGGGCCACCCTGGGCTGGGGAAGGTTCCCTGTGTCGCGGCCTGGCACTGACCTGAGGTGCTGAGAAAGCGGCAGTCGTGGCAGCAACGTTGCTGTGTGAGCTCCCCGGCTGCAGCCTTGGGGACTGTCAGCCCTGCCTTGTGTTAGCCGCTGCTCTCTCCTGTCTGCTGGACTCTGGTCCGGTCTTCATTTCCCGTCGCTCGTTCACATCCCGTCTGGGGCCAAGAGCGCCCCCCGGGGGTTTCTCCACTTCCTCAGCTGTGGATTTTCCTGTCCACGGCGCTGCCCCGGCTGCTTTAAACTTCCAAGTAGACAGAACGCCGGTGTATTAGCTACG